CACACACACACACACACACACACACACACACACACACACACACACACCCTTTCTTTGTTACGACTGCTGCGATACCAAGCCACTACAAGCTGACAGCCCCCTTCTCCATCAAGCAGCTCAGCTCTAACAGAATCGACAGTCAACTTTCTCATGTATTCTGTGCGGGTGATGCCACTCACAACATCTGACAACAGACTGCTAATGAACTTCTGTCAACTTGAGATGCAAATATTTGCAGTGAGATAATTGGTAGTGTAAGAATAAACTTCTCCATATTCCACAAGGTGATACTAKGAATTATACAACTCCAGCACAACCCCAATTCTGACAAAGTTGGGGCTCAGTGTAAAATGCTGATTTGAAAAAAAAAAAAACCTACACAAAGATATTCAAGTCTTTCATATTTTATTCACAACAGAACACTGTGAACATATCAAATGTTTAAACTAAAASATTGAACCATTTGTTTGAWGAAAYAAAGTGGTCRTTWGGAATTCAACAGCAACACCTCCCTAAAAGTTGGGACAYGTCCATGTTTACTACTGTGAAGCTTTTTAACAAAAGTCTGTAAACATCCAGAAACTGAGAAGACCAGTTGTAGGAGTCTTTGAAGGAGAACTGGTCTGATCTTAGGATTATAGGTTTTCATCAGTCCTGATTCATTTTTGAAGGAGGGGAATGTATGTTGTTGAAAAACCTGCATAAACTTTTTTTGCACTGATGTTGCCTGTAAGCTGTCCATGTCAGAGGCGCTAATGCACCCRCATACCATCAGAGATGCAGGCTTTTGAACTGTGAATTTCTAATTTTGATTCATCTGACCACAGAACATTTTTAACCCAGTCTGTTTTAAATGAGCTTTGGCCCAGAGACGATAGGAGAGTTTCTGGATGTTATGGCTGCTTCTTTGCACGATAGAGCTTTAACATGYTGAGTTTACAAACGGTGAATGGCCTGAACTTATAGCGCTTTATTAAATCCAAGAACTCCAAAGCTCATTACACAAGTCAGTTACACATTCATACTACAACTTTTTATTGTATGAATTTGTTTTTTGGAAAACAAAGGGGGCAGATATTATAAAAAATATTTTTTTTTCTGCTTTCTTTTCATTTCATTCATGACTTGTTTTGTTTTTATTGTCAAAAGATTTTCTTCTGTGTTTTAATGAATGAACAAATGAATGAATAAATAAATATACACAGGCCTGCCACAATAACAAATTTTGCTGGAGAATAAATTGTCTCAGGGAACAATTTGTGGAAGATTGCCTGAGTCCATTAGAGAAGAATCCAGATCAGAACAGACTCAGACCTGCCTTTTGAAGCAGTCCCGCCTGAAAGCCCAAAGATCACGAGTATTTCAAGTSTTCTGATTTGCTCATCTGTTAAACAAATGACATTACTTCGTTTCAAATTTGAAACACTCCAAAAAAATTTTTTTGGTATCTTCTGAAGACAGATCTTTACTAAAAATATTCTGTTTCGTTTTGCTTGGCAGCTTAATAATGAGACTTTGAGTAAAGCATGTTATTGTCACTCCAAAGTAAGAAGACGATCTCATAAAAACCGTGTTGTCTCGTTAGTGCGCCACGGGAAAGGTACCGTCAGTCAAGATGCAGGAGTATTTTATGTGCACTTGCAGAAAAGTAAGAGATGAAAACGTGAACATAAAACACACAAACTTTCTACTGTGTGTCTGAGAAAGTTGTTATACTTTAAAAAACCTGACCGACAAAAGAGGAAAAAAAAGTGTCAAATCCACTGAATGTTAGAGTCAGCAAGAATTCATCCCTTTATCCTTAAAAATCTTTTAGCACCTTCTTGTTCGAGTCACRGACGAAGACTCAATGGTGGTTCACAGCTAACGAAAATACTCACACCTTTCATGTTCTCCACATTTTCAAAATTCAGACTCGCCTCAAGTCATTCAATAGATTATTTTCCCCTAAAAAAAATAAAATAAATACAAAGAAAATGCACAAAAATAAATTAAAAGCTGGTTTTCAGATTGATCAGTTGTTCCTGCTAACAAGGTTAATACCGAGAATTCACTCAATGTCTCATTAATTACAATATAAACACATTAAGATGTGAAAAAAACTGGATAAAGTTTGTAAATCTTTAATCAGCCGTGAATATTTAGAACAGGCTAAGTGATTCCAAAATTGACTGAATTAAATATGAATTACAGGGCTGAGAATGTTTTCCTCTCAGTATTTACTCTTCATCAAATCAACACAGTTTAGCTTCAGTTCTGAGATCATTTATTTAAGGTTCAATATAGATACCAGAAAAATAAGACCTAATACTTCTAGAAAAAATGCATAGAGAACAAAAAAAACTTGTAAATACATTAATATTTTATCATTTATAATACATCGGTCTGTTTTAGGTGACTAACATAATATGGATCATACAGTTCAGATCCTTGGTCTGGGTCAAATGTGTCAAAGTCGAGGCCTGCGGGCCAAATGTGGCCCACCTTTGTCTTAAAATAACCGTATGCTGCTTTAAAGCCATCATTGATCGTAAACTACATCTCCTATAGAGCATGTTGATTATTTTACTTATGTGCATGACAACATCCCACCACTAGGTGGAGGTGCACAGGGTTCAAAGGTAGCCAGCAGCTGGCAAAACTCACCATCTAACATCTCTACTTGGCTGATTTTTTGCCGGCTACTTTTGCAGCAGCCCAGTTGTACTGTGAAATGTGTATTTCCCACTTACAAGTCATAAATTTAAACTGGAATGCCCCTCCAGTGGGATTTCCCTGTGAGAAAGTGTTAGCAGCCCTAACAGCTACTCAYCACAACTCAACTTTTACTTTTAATAGTATTTCTGTATTATTTATTTCACATTTAGGTCAGTTGTAAACATAGTACTTTTCAGTGTTTATAAGAGGGCATAATAAAACACTTTTTCTATGCAGGAAATACCACATAGAGCTCCGTTATTGTTTGTTAGCGGTGCTCAGTCGCAGCAATGAGACATGGAATGTGATGTTTTGTGTTTAGTCAAAGTTAAAAGCAAAAAGTCAAAGTTAATAAAAACAGGCATTTTGAGGGCCACCTTTAATGCTCACGTGGCCTTCTGTAAAAATAAGTGTGACACCCCTGGTGTGGAGGAAAAACACTGCTTAGCTGTTTGCTGCACTGGTAAATGTAATATTGAGTTTGTTCACAAATACAGACATACACACACGCGCGCGCGCTTCGCAGCAGCTGCTGGCTGGAGAGCTGCAGCTCATTACCATGATACCTGAGGCTTTAAGTAGAACTTGGGCTTTCCCTGTTAGAGAGCAAGACTGAGCTCCACTCATCTAACTGAAAGCATCCAACCAGGCTTGGACAGGTTCACTTTACCACGATCAAGACTTTGCTGAGTGAGTTCACTCTTCCTTTTCATTAAGATCAATGTTTGCTGAAACTTTACAACAAAAATCAACTAAATGWGGACAGAAAGTGAACATTCCTACATAATAAAACAGATCTTTTCCAGCACAAACAGAGTTAACTACTGACTAACCCTATGACAGATGGATAAATAGCTGAAAGGAGATCAGACTCTGAAGAGTAGGGGACAGGCAGATGGAAACGTCTTCCTACACAGAAAGAGAGAAAAAAAAATAAACTCTGAGGACTCGGGGAAAATCAAGATGACAGAAGGTGAATGGACTTGTAATGAAACTCTCAAGGTTGATCACACATGACAAGCTCCACTCCGCGGTGGTGTCAGGGTGCGCACACACACACACACACACA